GGCCGCGCCGATTTCTACGTGCGCTTCGGCGAGAAGGAGCGCGAAGCGGTCGCCTCCTTCGATTTTCTCGACGACGAATTCAGCTCGCCGGAAGAGGCCGCCACCGGCCTGGACTCGGCTGGCGCCCCCTACTAGCGATGGTGGCATGTACATTGTGATATATTTATATATGGATTAGTCCAGCGGTTTTGGGGCGAATCTCCGTGTGCAGTAGAGTGACGTATTTTTCTATAGGGTACAAACACAGATTTAAGTAGGAATTACTTACTTATATTACTGATGATGATGATGATAATAATAATAATAAATTATTATATTTAGCCACGCCCTAAAGAGAAGCCACCCAGTCCCTAACCTCAGTAGTTCCCCCTCCCCCCCCGTTCCCAAGCTGTCATGTCAAGGGCCCCAGAACGAAAGCGGCCAGGTAAGCCCCAACTACTTTATTGGTTACACTTGGTTGACCCGATAGGGGCGCTGCACGGGGCGGCAGTCGTTGCGGTGCAACTGGGCGACCAATTTGTCCTCAATCAGTTCAACGGCGCTCCTCGTGAGCACCAGGGTGTCGTGCTTGAGCATCGAGTAGACGTTCAGGCCGTAGACGGGCATCAGGTTCATTTGCTTGATGGAGTCGGTGGCGGCCGTGATGTTGCGCGGCATTATGTCGCAACTGCAAACAGATCGCTTTAGAGCCATCGCCAGGGCTCGGCGGGGCTCACTTACCTGTCGACGAACAGCACGGAGGGGCCCCACAGGCGGCTCTTGACCAGCTCCTGCATGTAGTCGGGCTCCTCGCTGGGGATGTCGAGGCTGTCGACCACTCGCAGGTCGTCCTGGGCGAACTTGGCCGATAGGGCGCTGGTCAGGCCGTGCAGGCGCGTGAAGAAGGGCAGCATGTAGAAGTGGGGCGTGGGCGCCTTGGGCCCGTGGATCACGCCGCCGCCCTTGAAGAGCGGCGAGCGGATTGAGCCGTGGCGCGCCCGCCCCGTGCCCTTTTGGGGCCAGGGCTTGCGGCCGCCGCCTCGCACCTCAAAGCGGGACTTGGTGTGCGCGAAACTCACGTAGCGGTAGAGCGTCTGCCAGCGCACGTTCTGGTGGATGATGTCGATGCGGGGCGCCGCCCCGAACACCTTGGGGTGCAGCTCCAGCAGCCCCAATTTGCGCTCGTCGATCGTGTCGAGGCTTTCCAGCCACACTTGCCGCGCCTTGATGTACGGTTCGGGGAAGTCGAAGGCGCGTGGGGCGCCCGTGCTCAGCCCCCGCGAGCCCGCCACCGCTTTTGCCAAGCTTCGCAACATTTTTGAGGTTAACCTCAGCGGCCAGTGACAGTGTGAGTTTGGGAATCTGTGGCGCAGGCGTGGAGGTTATGTAGAATGCGTTTGTTGTCGAACCTGTGGCACAGTCGCCCCTTTAGCACCATGGGACTGCCGTTGAAGAGCGTGCTGGACAAGCTGCAGAAAATCGCCCCCCTGAGGCTGGCGGAGCCCTGGGACAATGTGGGGCTGCTGGTGCAGCCCGAGCGGCAAGCCCAGGTCAGCACAGTGCTGCTCACCATCGACCTGACGGAGGACGTGGTGGCGGAGGCCCAACATGTGGGCGCGCAGCTCATCGTCTCCTATCACCCCAACATCTTCAAGCCGCTGAAGTCGCTGACCCAAAGGTGAGGTTAAACGGCAGCAGCCCCCCGTGAATGCCCCCCTGGTCTGTTTTAGCTCGTGGAAGGAGCGAGTGGTGGTGGAGTGCATTCGGAGCAACATCGCGGTCTACAGCCCCCATACCAGCTGGGACGCGATCAGGGGCGGAGTGAACGACTGGCTGGGCGCAGCCCTGCCGCACAGCGCCAGCCGCCCCATTCTCCCGTCCGCCGAGCGCCCAGATGCGGGCGCCGGCAGGCTCTTGACGCTCGGCGAAGCCCTGAGCTTGAGGCAAGTGCTGGCGCTAGTCAAGACCCATATCGGGCTGGGGTACTTGCGCCTGGGGCTGGGACGAGGAGGCAGTTTGGGTAGGCAATCAAACAACCAGTAGAGAAAGGGGGCCTTTTGTTGAACAGCAGTTTTAGAGTCCCAGGTGGGCACGGTGGCGCTTTGCGCGGGGTCCGGCGCCACTGTGCTGGCCAACGTGGAGGCTGATCTGTACCTGACGGGCGAGATGAGCCACCATGACGTGCTGGAGGCCACCCAAAGGGGCGTCCATGTGGTGCTGTGCAACCACAGCGACTCCGAGCGGGGCTTCCTGAAGGTGGTGCAGCCGGAGATCGCGGCCGCGGGGCTCCAAGTGAAAGTGTCCGAAGTGGACAGGGACTGTCTGACTACGATCTAATAAAGGCGGCGCTCAGAACCGGTGCGGTCTTATGGGGTTTTCCACGTCGAACAGCTTGGGGTCCTCCAGGTAGCAGGCCTCCTTCAGGTAGGTGGCCATCATTCCGGCGCTCTGCGCCTTCACGATCTCGGCCTCCACGCGCGCCTGCTGGGGCTGGCAGAGGCGCGTGATGTGGCGCCCGTAGATGCGCCCCGTGTAGGGCGACTGGAACTGCGACAGCAGTTTCACGTTCTTGTAGTCCACTTGGATGTTGTGCTTGCACAGGACGCACTTCGGGTGCTCCTTTTCGAAAGGGTTGCCCATGGTGAAGTCGGGCTCGTCCGGCCCGGTGGCGTAGGAGCGCCCCAGCGCTCGGGGGGCCCACAGCGGCCGCAGTCGTTCAAGCACCACCACGCGCAACATCGCATCAGTGACAACTGTTGACAGACCACAGAGGTTACTCTGTAATCTGTGCAACTGCTGTCAAGCGAAGTGAGGTTGTGGTGAGACAACAAATGAAGTTGTGCAGGTTTGTATGAGTGAGCTGACTAGGGGGGTAGCTCGGAATATACCGCCACGATAGATTCAAAGGAAAACCCAACAACAAACACTAACAAATCGTATATTTGTGGAACCTAACGAACACGTGGTGTGCTCGTAAGGTGAAAACTACATAAGATGGCGGGTGCCGAAAGGCAGCGCCTTTTTGCCCTCCTCGGTGGGCCTGTTGCGGTGTTGTCAACTCACGCTACAATCTTACGCGAGGTTGTTGTCACCACAGACTATCCCTTGTCGTTTTTCGTTTCTACCAGGGCAGCAGCATGTTGAAGGAGGTAGCGAGCGAATATCAGGAGCAGATTCGTTTTTAACGTTAGCGTTCCCTTATTTTGAAC